TAGGTTAACAGGCTCTTCTCTAGTCTCCCCAACTCCAGTCAGATGCCTTCATGCCACATTCCGCACGGCGACAGTGTGCCCTGCACGTCACACAGCTGAACCCCTCAGCGGGTCCCAGCACCTGGCTACGAGCCAGGCTCCTCAGCGGGCCTTTCCGGTCCCAAAGGACCCGAGCCAGCCTGCCCCTCCCCTGTCCGCACACATGCATCACAAGTAACAGCTCCTGTGCGGCCCTGGCGGGCTCCGCTGGGCATTTTCTTAGTTCTGACTGACTACAAAACTCTTTCATCACGACTGGATGACAAACAATCCGGTAATTTAAATACCTAACCTTAGGAAAAAGGAAATACTCCAAAATGTGAACTAAAGTTAACACACATAGCTATTTATCACAGCCTCATTTATGACAGCAAAAAAAGTATGTGTGTGTGTGCAATTTAAATGTCCAAAAATAATCAAATAAACTATAGCAAATGTGATAGTATATGACAATTAAAAATGCTGACAAAGTTTTAAAGACATGGAAAATGTTTACTCTAGAAAGGTCTTAAGATGACATAGGAGACGCAAATATCTCAAAAGATGTCACGAAAGCAGAAGAAAACAGAACGGTGACAAAAAGACGAGTCAGGGATGAGGCCACAGAGACGCCTTGTGGGTACGTGTGGGCCACATAGGTGGCTCTCAGCTTCCTGTCAGCCAGCACAGACGAAACATCTGGACAGTATCCCCACTCAGTACCCACATATAAAAACATCCCCTGCTCGGGGAGAAATGCCGTTATTCTGCACATGAACTGCTGTGGCAGGTCCCCACGGGGAAGATACAAAATACTAAGACACACGGCAGGCTTCCTGGGGGTGATTCACGCAGAGATCCCAGATGCAAGTGACAGCCTTGGCCCCAGCTCACTCAGTTCCCTCGTGTGAATCCAGTAGGTGATGATGAAGGTGTTTAGTTTTCTGTGGATCTATCTTGTTGCAGAAGTAGAGATTCAGAGAAACAGAAGGACTGAAGTCCATTTCAATGAATCTTCCCCCAAATACTATTTTTTGTCATACTTCGATACACTTCATGAATTTATACTTGTACTTACGAAAAGTACCTGGAGTCAAGCTAGTCTGGCCAGATAACTGAAAATAGACTTATCAGAATGAATAATTAAGGGGCAGGAGTAGAAGCAGTGAGCTTAGTGAGAAGGCGACTTCAGGAAGACAGGAAAGAATCGAAGGCTGTAACGATGTAGCAATGGTACTAGGAACAATAATGATTCTAATAGCGATGATGAGAGTCACATCACATTACATTGTAATAATAGCAATAATAACAGTAGAAAGATGTACAACTATCATTATTTGTCAGGTTTTGAATTGAATATATAAAAACCAAATTTGAGATCAATTAGATTCTTGCATCAAAATCTAAGCTCCCTCATTAATACCTTCTTCTGTTAATAAAAGACAAGCCCTGGCCAATTTGGCTCAGCAGTTAGAGCATCGGCCCACAGACTAAAGGGTCTCGGGTTTGATTCCCGGTCAAGGGCATGTACCTGGGTTGCAGGTTTGATCTCTGGCCCTGGCCAGGGTCGTGCTGAAGGCAACCAATTGATGCATCTCTCTCACATGGATGTTTCTCTCTCTCTCTCTCTCTCTCTCTCTCTCTCTCTCTCTCTCTCTCCTCTCTCTTCTCTCTCTCCCTCACTTACTCTCCCTCCCTTCCATCTAAAAATCAATGGAGAAATATCTTCAGGTGAGGATTAACAAAAAAATAAATTAAAATAAAAGATAAAAGTCAGGCCTACATTAAACGCCCAGCACGCATGAAGCTGGCACCCTCTCCTGGACTCTGAAAGTTTTGGTGGGCACACCTGTCACATCTGGCCCTTGCATAAGCAGCTCAAGGGGAATGGACTCTGTGTTTGATTTCCTCTCCAGTACCTTCTTCTTCACATTCTGGCTACCGATCTCTTCACACTCATAAAGTATTTTAAGGAGTTTATTCATTTAATTAAAATAGCACTAGTAAAAGCAAGAATTGATTCTGACTAGCATGGGTCTGTTGCTAAAGAAAGCTGGTGCTTGGAGCTGGTAGGTATGCCTGTGCACGGCTTCCCTCCAGTCATCACCATGACAACGCGTAGGCGGAAAACCATTTCTTAGTTCCTCCGCACTTGTGCAAGGGTCTCCAAAAGAGACCGACAAGAGAATGATTTAGAAAATATGGTGGTACAAGAGCATCCACGCCTGAGTGACACGGAAAGACGCCCTACCCATCACCGACAGAGCAGAGATATACCCAGTGTATCGGGGTAAGGAGGCCACAGGAACGAGGATCAAAGAAGGAATACAATAAACTGAAACATTTTTGGAAACAGTTTTTTGTTTTTTTTTCTCCAAGGAGATACAAAGAATTCTGTGGACAAGCCAGCCTGGAAATACTGGGAAAGAGAGTCTATGAAGTTCACAGGAGCAAAGGCTTACTAATCCCCCAGAGGAAATTATCTAGCAAAAAGCAAATGCCAGTGCATTTGTTTGATGACATCCATTAGTAAGGGCTGTTTGGCAGAAACCAGCAACAGGCATAAAAATATCTTGATTTTGAAGTCAGCACAGAAAAAAAGTGTATGAGTTCTTCAAAGAGTGAATATGTGCGGCGAGTCTGAGATGGAATGGTCGTTAAGTATAACCTGAGTCTGGGGATGCTCGAAGCATCCTGCTGTTGAAAGCAGGGTGCACAGTACGGAAAGAAAAGCAGATGGACAGGAAGGAGCTTGAAGCAAAAAGATTCAAGGAATGAGCTGAGAACCAAATGATGATGTAGAAGGGAACCCTTCTACAGGCCCAACCGAACCAGTCTCGGGCAAGGGCTTGTGTAAATAAAATCAAAGTTCCTAAAGCTTTCTATTTTCTGGTGATAAATATCACAATGGTGAATATTTCCAAAACATTTTCCTGTAAGAGGAGAGCTGGCATGATGTATCACAACCATCTAAATACTGCTAAAGCCATGCAATGTGTCGTAATTAAAAACCGCCATCAGCAAGATTTTAGACATGGGGCATGGTGGGACATCTATGACTAGACTATTCTGCAGCTTCTAGCAACTGTATGTAGTCACAGGAATATACTCATGGCAGGGCTCTCAACAAACAAGCTATTTTACACTGAATGCAATACAGAGCTAAAGGCATGCTGTATCTAGTTTTTAAAACAGATTTTCTTAATTACATTTGTAAAGTTCGTTGGAGTCTCAGGAAAATGTTACTATTTAACTTTAATTTTCTTCGGATATATGATTTTTTTTTTCACTAGGAGCAGCCACACAGGGTTCTAAATAATCTCCGAGAAATAAAATAAGGGAAAGCACTCTCCTTGCTTTTAACTATCAGGTTTAAAACCCTGAATAGAATCTGCAGAGATGAAAGATGCTACACGGAGAGGCTCTCTGTGTTCACGGACAGCCAGTGTTTCTAGAAGTCACCCAGCAAACACCATGTATAATGTCGAGAGATAATTTATGTATAGTCCCTTAATATGAAGGAAACTACAAAATCTTTATGTGCCTGATTTAATGTTTTCATCTTAGAGACAGTCAGACATCTGTAAACCAAAGAAAGGAGCCCCACTCGGAGGCCGTGGCTGGGGCCGCCAGTGTGCGCTTCCTCGGGCCTGGTTCCCTAATGATCAATCTGCCTAAAAGCATTTCAAATACAACCTATTCCTCTTGAGAGTTTGTGCATTTATCTCAGTATACTGTTTGTTTTGTTTTTTATTTTTTTTATTTTTTAACTTATTTTTTATCCTCACTTGAGGACATTTTTCCATTTTTTACTCAGATAGAGCGGGAAGGAGAGAGAGGAAGAGAGAGAAACATCGATGTGAAAGGAACACATCGAGTGGCTGCCACCCACACGACCCAACCAGGGCCGGGGACAAACTGCAGCCAAGGTACATGCCCTTAGTGGGAACCGAACCCGGGTCTCTGTGGACCGCAGGCCGACGCTCTAACCGCTGAGCCAAACTGGCCAGGACTGTTTTTTGGTCACTTCTTTGTCATTTTGGGATTATTAAGCCAAGTCCTCCAAAGGCATACTTTATTTCCTTTGTATTTCTAATAAATAGTTCTTAAAGATGCACTGTTTTATGAGTAAATGGATTGTTTTCTATTTTTGTGTGTTTTCTATCTTTGTGTATTTTTTCTACTTTATTTTCTACATAAGCACTTCAAGACTTTTTCAAGCCAATCGTTTTAAGTGAAGACGATTTCTTCAAAGCAAAATTTAATTTTTCTTTTTAGAACACTTGTGCAGATGGAGAAATACTGAAAAATGGTTTTTTAATTACAGGACAGCTTTTAAGGCAAGTTTAAAGAAATTTAATTAAACTATTTAAATTTATTTCATTTTAACTGTATAAAAAGAATGCAGACACCCGAAGAGTGAATTTCAATTAGGGCGAGGGTTACATAAGCATCACTGGGGTGGGGGGGAGAGGGGGGTTTCCAACTACACCTGCCAATACTCTCCCCTATAGATTCTAGAAGTCTTGGTGGCAGGTTCTCACGTTCTGTTAGTGAAAAATAAAACACAAGGGAAATGGAATCTGCCTTTGGCTTCCTACTCATTCCTGACCATTTCCTGGCTGCCAATCCCTTCATGATCATTCACAAACTACTTTAAATATTTAATTAAAACAGCACTGTAAAACTGAGAATGGACGCTGAATATCATGGATCTGTAGTTCAAGAAAACTAGGCCTGGAAGCACGTTATCAAATGCATCACAGAGTTCTAGTTCATAGCGGTATATGTACCTCCTTTGGTGTCAAGAGGATCAGAAAAATATTTCAAGGAGAAAGGTTACACCAAAGGAAGGAGCTTTTCGGTTGTTTGATACTGACACACGGAAACATCTGGGCAGACAGGTCTAGCAGGTCTGAGCCAGAGGCACTGGGCACTGGCCACATTTGCCCGGGTCAAAAGCGGGCAGCCTAGTGACTCACCGGCAGGGCAGGATCCGGACCACGTCGCTGGGCTTGTACCCTTCGATACAGACTGCACAGTTGTCGAAGTCGGGCTCTGTTTCCTGCAACACAGAAAGCACAGTGAGCCTACAGTGAGCACAGCTTCGACTCCTGGGAAACTCCCAAGTAACACACCAAAGCACAGCAGCCCTGCAGCCAGGCTCCAGCAGTCTTGGGGGCAGTTTTCTTAATCAGTAATTTATTATTTACTGCCTTGGTTTCCAGTCACTCTAACCTCCACTTTTTGTTTCGGGTTCCACTGCAAGTGCTTAGGTGAGGAAACAATTTTTTATATACCATTACTAATAATGGTATTGTTACAATTAGAGGTGACATAGCAAAAACTCAAAGATAAAAATAACCTTTATGGAGAAGTATCTGAATGATATTTAATCTATCCATTCCTCAGGAATCTAACGTATACAACTCTAAAACAGTGCTTCTAATTTCTCCCCCCAAGTATATAAATCTCCTTTAATACCCCATAAAATATTACTTATATAATAGTTCTTATTCTGTTATTATTCTCTGTTTCAGGGGAAAAAGTAATGAAACAAAGACTTTAAATTCAGTACAGATTTTAAATGAATGTTATTGTATTAAACTCAACAGCATTTTTATACAGTTGAAAAAAAGCACGTAATTAGGGAGCAAATCAATTATTCAGGCTAGAGATAACGCCTGGAACACACGTAGCCAGGAGCCCCAAATCCATGTGTGCAATTCACTGGTCTCCAATTTCTCCCGGGGAGAGGAGAGACTTTCAGAGGCTGCAGGCGGGGACTGTCCTCTCTGTCCTCAAGACATGCATCCACTTTTGGCTTTATGTCATCCTTTATAGCAAGGGACGCTGTTGCCATGACTTTGGGGTCCTAGACACTTGATTTCAGAGGCACTAAATATGCTTCCTGCATTTACTGTAAATGTAAGTAGATGATATTGTTCAGCACATAACATTGTCTTCCTTGCAAAGATTCATGGAAAAAGCTTTTTCAAGTCCTAATACAGGAACAGCCTTTTTAAAAAATTAAAAAAAAAATCGTGCAGGGCACTGAATAAGGAAATTAGCTACTGCTTGACAGTTGAATATTATTTCCTTCTTTGCACTGGCTGCTAGAAAGCTCGTACCTAAATCTGGGACCCATTTCTGTTATACATTTTAGGTAATACATCTTTACAATAATTTCATCCTGCTTCATCTGTTTTTCCTACGCTTACCTTTTAATTTCCCATATTCTCTATCCAGATTATTATATACATTTTATAAAGTGCTTTAAATTATATTCAGTAAAGATGGGTATAATAGCAGATGCTTATGGGACTATTAGCATATATGCCCCCTTTCCCATCCTTCTCTCTCTTCTACCCTGGCGGCCAGAACAGCCAGGAGCTGGTTGGAATAGCCCCTCCCCCCAAAGAAAAGAGGCTGTTACCTTGTCACCCTTCTTGATGGTCCTGACCTGGAGCTTGCTGATGGCCTTCTTCGCAGCGTCTCCCAGTCGGCGCTGAAACACCAAACACTGCTTGTTAGTGATAAAGGCCTGTGATTCTGACTTTGCTTCTGATAACATTTAATCAGCCAGGGCAGCTATGTCTGAAATCACGCACAAGTGGCAGGAATGTTAATGATGATGTCTGGAAGAGATGGGGTGCTGATATCTGTGCAAAGTGGCTCTAGTAATTGAGGTCCATTAGAGTGAAGCTCTCCATGCCCGATGTTACACAAGGGGCACGTGATAGGGAAAGATCCTGCCTACAGAGACTTCAGTGCAGGTCACATCTACCCAGACTGGCTCAATAAATAAATAAATACATTTAGTGAGTTGCCAGTCTCGCCACTTAATTTGTGACAGAGATAGTCCGTTTGGAGTAGTTAGAATAAACTTCATCTCCTCTTTTTTCACAATCAGGGTTTATTGTCTATGTATTCCTTTCCATTTGGAATTTTAAGGAATTTCCTTTGTTTATATAGACCCAAACTAGGTTTATATTTAGTCTGTACTATCCTATTACATCACATTCTTACATGCCAATTTTGCCTCCTTTGTGTATGTTTAAGTGTGAGTGTGAATATAGGGAAATACATAACATCGATATGTTTAGTTTAACAAATAACTATAAAGCAAACCCCTAGGTAACCACCATAACCCATGTCAAGAAATACTATATTTCCCTGGCCAGTTTGGATCAGTGGTTAGAGCATTGGCCTGCGGACCAGAGTCGAAGGTTCGATTCCAGTCAAGGGCACATACCTCGGTTGCAGGTCTGATCTCAGCCCCGGTAGGGGTTGTGTGGGAGGCAACCACAACTGATGTGTCTCTCTCACATTGATGTTTTTTGCTCTCTCTCTCCCTTCCTTCCTCCCACTCCATCTGAAAAAAATCAATGGAAAAAGTATCCTTCAGTGAGGATTAAAAAAGGAAAGAAAAAAAAAGAACAGAAATACTATATTATGCACTATTTTAAAAAATAAAGTTACTGCCCAACTGGTGTAGCTCAGTGGTTGAGTGTCAACCCATGCAACAAGAGGTCACTGGTTCAATTCCCAGTCAAGGCACATGCCCAGGTTATGGGCCCGAGCTCCAGTGGGGGGAATGTAGGAGGCGGCCAATATATGTTCTCTCTCATTCATGTTTCTATCTCTCTCTCCCTCTCCCTTCCTCTCTCAAAAATAAACAAAACAAAAATCAATCAAGAAAAATTATCTAAAAATAAATAAATAAATAAAATAAAAATAAAGTTACTTTCTAGTGAGTGCTCCAGTAATGCAATAAGGAAGAGTAAGATACAAAGAGGGTGAGGAAAGAATTAAGTTTTAATCTGTCAAGGAAAAATATGGTCTGCTTCTGTGCCTATGACCTCTACATGCTATGTCACCTTCCTAGGTACAGGTACTAGTTGCCTATTACAGGTATGTATCTGCAGCAGTTAACATGTTTGAAGGACTGAGATACAGGGACAAACATTTAAACAGAATAAATATTTGCTTTCACTAATTTTGTTCCTCTTAGAAATAACAATGAAACTTCCTTATTTTCTTTAAAATAGTGAACATATACCAGTGAACGGTTAATTTATCCAAGGTGCCAGACCAAAGCTCTCTGTGCAGTATCCTTTATCTTTACAACAACCCTATGAGAAAATAAAATATTGCATCATAGAATGAATTGAGACTTATAGAGTTTATGTGAATTGTTCTAATATTATAGTGTTTGTTAAAGGTCAGTTAGAATCTGAATAAAATTAACACCGACTTTAAAGCCAAAGCTAAACTACCATTCTCATTTTCACCAACCACCCAACTGACTAACCAGCCAGTCAGCCAATTAATTAACTTCTGCCCAGTCAGACAGCCAACTAACTAATCAGCCAGCCAGCTAATCAACTCACTTTTGGCCAACCAACCAACCAACCAACCAATAAGCTAGCCAGCTTGCAAGCCATCCAGCTAACCAACCAATCAGTTAGCCAACTGACCAACATCTGGCCAGCTAACCAGTCAAACAGCATTCAGCCAACTAACTAACCAACCTATTGGCCAACCAATCAAAATCTCTTAAGTACCTATGATGAGACACTTCCCTTAATACACCAGTTAGAGTAAGAAAGTAGAAAAGGAGATATCTCCTTGTTAACTTACTTTGGTCTTTGATATTTCATTATTAGTTTTTAAAATAATCATTGGCATTAAAATTTTTTTTCTTTATTGATTTTAGAGAGAGAGGAAGGAAGAGGGAGAGATAAATGGAAATATCAGTGAGTGAGAACGTCAACTGCCCGCCTCCTGCATGCTCCCCACTGGGGATCAGGTCCACAACCTGGACATGAGTCCTGACTGGGAATCGAACTAGCAACCTCTTGGTGCATGGGTCGACTCTCAACCACTGAGCCACACCGGCCGGGCAATCATTGGCATTTTTAACAGGAGAGTAAGCTTTGGCTCTTCCCTAAAGGGATGCCTATATACCCTTGAGATTACGCCAAAGTCTGTGAGTAGCTTGCAAACTAAAGTGGCAGGAAGAGTCTATAATGATAAATACCAATGGGGGACATAAAGTGGGGGAAGAAAAAAAGTGAGGGAAAACTAAACAGGATGCAGATCTCTTTCCTCTCCTCTTCCTCTAGTTATAGACTACTCATCCTTTGGTCTCAGCTCAAGCCATTTCGGGGGAAGCCCTCCCTAGATGTCTTCCAGGAGAGAAGATTCCTCTAAACCCTCCCAGCACCTTGCCCGTCTGCTTCATAGCACGGTGACAACATCTGAGATTTTTAAGGTCAATCCCGATTACTTTCCTCTCAAGTAAGTGCCCTGAGGACAGGTCTTGTTTATGTTTGCTTCCCATTACTGCGAATAAAGCTGCCTTCAGTAACTGACACCGGATCATTCAACACATATTCCAGATGACTTACTTTATCCTAGGCGGAAATACACACACACTCTCCTGCTCTCTGCAGTGAACTATTGAGTGGAAACTCCATTAATGGTTGATGAGTGAAAAAAACCTTAGACCAAGAGACTTTTTTTTCTTTAGCATGGAAACCAACCTGAGCCAGTCAATGGGGAAAATATATGGACAAACTGTAAGTAATGCACGTGGTTAGGTAAGCAAACTACGGTCCTGACCTTGGCGAATCCAGCCTCTCTCAACTAAGGGCTGCTTTTCACTGACGCAGCCAGGAGCAAGGACTGAGAGGATGGAGGAGCTGCTGGTCACAGGGAGTGAGTCAGCCACCTGCAGAACATTAGGTTTAAATGAGAGATCGGGACCTCAGGGAAACAAGTACTGATTGTTGCAGGTCAGATATCTCTAGAATTGTGTTTAATTGGTATTATATATTATCTAGCCCCAAGTCAGTCACTTAGATTGTTATTTATTTTCAAAGGCTAAGCAGGGCAATTAGGCAGCAAGGATCATTTTCAAACAATGATAGTGGATTACACTCGAAGAAGACCAACTTTTTTTACGGAGGTGAACCAGAAATAATGTTTTCAAAATTTAAATATTTTTTTTTTTTATAAAATGAAATATGCCCTTCTTTTTTTTTATCCTCACCCGAGGACATTTTTCCAATTTTTGTACAGATAGAGTGGGAGGGAGAGAGAGGAAGAGAGAGAGAGAGAGAAACACCGACGTGAAAGAGACACATCGAGTGGCTGCCACCCGCATGACCAACCAGGGCCGGGGACAAACTGTAACCGAAGTACGTGCCCTTAGCGGGAACCGAACCCAGGTCTCTCCGGACCGCAGTCCAACGCTCTAACCGCTGAGCCAAACTGGCCAGGGCGAAATATGCCCTTCTTAAATGTGAACATGTAAGGTGAATTCAAAGACTACTTTCTATCTTGTCCATGTATTTTACTTTAGTTTTGGCCAAATAAAAATGGGGTATTTAAAAAATATATATCCCTTTGTCTCTTCCAGAAGAATAAAACACCCCTTCCAGGCCCTTTTAAGGGAACATGCAAGGTGCCTTTATTAAAAACAAGAAAACGGTGTGTCTGTTCAGGAAACGTAAAGTAAGCGGACATGAGGGCACTGGGAAGTACGTTAACAGCAGAGTTAGGGGTCAGGGGATCAGAAAAAGGAGTCCATCACTGGCGGTACGAGGGTGGGCGGATGAAGGGCTCAGTGGAGGATGACGTCACTGGCAGATGGGCTTCTCCGATGAGCAGAACTAAGAGATGGAGAATTTGGAGTAAACAAGAAAACGATAAAGTCCTCTCAACATCAAGTCTGTGAGGTCTTCCTCCCTGGAAGTCCTGAGAAATCAGATGATTCACAAAGGAAAGAAGGCCTGTTTTCCCTGATCATTCTGAAAAGTGGTGTGAAGGTTTTCCTTTCCCTTGAAGTGCCTCGAGTCCAACCTCATTTCAGATGGTGACTCACATACCCCTCTTCTCAGGAGGAACAGGGGAGCGTTCTGTGAGTGGCTGATGAAGAATAAGAAGTCTGACCGGGAAGGGACGGAACAGGTACCCTGGACAGTACAGAGAAGCCCGCTTCTGAGACACAGATGACAGTTCTGAGACTATGGAGAGCTAGATTTTTCAACAGGAGTCCAGGTTAACAAAGTAAGGGGAAACACACCATAAAGTTTTTAAAAAATGTTATTTGCATGTAGTCAAATTTTATCAAATTTCTTTTTTTTTTTTTAAGTGACGTGAAAATGACACAGAAATATGGACTTCTGAATAAAAACACTGGCTCACTTTGGACAATTTTCTAACTAGTATTATTGGATTTCCAAAATGCAAACTAAAGAGAGTATGCTAAGCGAAGTAAGCCGGTCAGAGAAAGACAAGTATCCCATGATCTCACTTACATGTGGAATCTAATGAACAAAATAAACTGACAAACCAAATACATCCAGAGACATGGAAGCAAGGAACAGACCAATGAACATCAGAGGGGAGGGGGGAGGGGAGGGGGGAGGGGAGGCAGGAAGAGAGAAACCAAAGAATTTACATTCATTTTGCATAACCAATGGACACGGACAATAGGGTGGTGAAGGTGGGGGGAGGAGGGAGGAGGAGGGGGTCCATGGGGGGAAAAGGAGGGAAATTTGTAATACTTGCAACAATAAAGATAGATTTGAAATGTTAAAAAGAGATAATGAGTAAAAACATAAACATTCTTAATGAAATGGCCCAAGTAGGGCAGGTGTTGCTTTTGCAGTCAGTTTGCAGTCTGGGTTTTTCACTGCACTGCGTATACGGCACAGGAAAGCCAAGGCCCTGCTCGAACTGAGCCTGGTGTGGAGCCTGAGCAGACTCCAGGGACTGGAACTAGGTCTATGACTCAGCACATCCTTTCCTGTGTGGTCCTCAGAAATGCAGACTAACGGGGTGCTAACGGGAGACATAGGGACCAACTCACGTAGATTTAGGGACCACCTCAGGTACACTTAGGGAGCACCTCAGGTTTCTAGAGGCCTTGTGTTTCAGGGGGGATTCTTCTCTGCTGTCCAGGGCTCCTACAGATTTTCTCTAACCCAACCAGATCCAAATCATGCTTCCCACTAAAGATGATCAGGAGTCGGGCCATCTCAGTAATTAGATCAATCCATCAATGGAATCTAAATGAGTATAAGAAAGTATTTACCAAGGTTATTGGTTCCTTGACAATAGTAAAGACAAATGGCTTCATGGGAAATAAAACCAGGACCGTTTATTACAAGAAGAACGTTCTCCATAAATGTCAACATGGAGGGTAAACAATGTCAGACTCTAGCTCAATCCACGACACAGAAGTTAGTGACCTAAATATTAGGAAACAGAGAAAAAGAAGACCCTTTCCTCGCGTCCCCTTCTGTGTTACAAGCAGGTATGCAGTGAAGACGATAAAAAACTGGGAACATAAGGTCGCCCCAACAGCATCAAAGTCGAGTTTCTGTTCTGGCTCATCTGATCGGCTCATTCTGTATCATCCTTGCCCCTTTCTACTGACAGGTGGATCTGATAATCAGGATTATCACTGCCACCCCAAGTGGAAAAATAACAGAGTGTTCTTAGGTCCTGGGTGACAAGAGGACACTGTAAACACAGTTGGTCCCAGTCGTCCGGAACCACACGCCGCCATGGGCGACTCAGACACTAAAATGTAATAACGGTTTCTCCAGGCCTGGCTGACGCATCAGAAGTCACTGCACAGCCAGCTCAGCCCACTGCCACGAGGCTGATCACCCTCCGTAATCCAGAGAAGCGGGTACGAGAGTGAGACCGATCTGACAGCCGCGGCGACCTCCGGAGTGACGACTGAAAGCTGAGCACGGAACACGAGGCCGGCTTATTTCCCGTGGGAGGGGGTGTAGAGACTGCAAAGGCTTGCAAGTTAGAAGATCCAGCGTTTAGCCCTGTCTCTGTCACTCACTGTGTGACTTCGGCAAAGTCACTTCAACATTCTGGACCCCAGTTCCCCTTATGAGTAAAATTGGGTATGTCGAGTCACGTCATTTCCAGTTCTACCAGCTCAGGGTTTTCTTCCACGTGAAACGGAACTGGGAGGCCAAGATCCTGGAGACCTGAATGACCTCAACATGGCAAACCAACGGCTAATTACCTGGCTGAATACATCACAGAGACAACATACACTCCGCCCCTCCGACCCCCCAGGGGTCTGCACTCTCTCCAGGGACACATCAGGGACTGTTTTGGTTCTCGCTTTTTAGGAGACAGAAGCATCTCTGACCCCAGGGACACTGGCATAGCCCTTTCCCTTCCCTTTCTCTTTCCCTGGGACGTCCAAGTTTAAATCTTATCACTTCTCTTGTTCCAGCATAACCTGAGGACCAATGTGCAAATAAAATCAAAGGGCCATGGACCACTGACATGCAGATCCTAGGAGAAGTATTCACACAGAGGGCTAACTCCTTTAAGCAAGCTTGGTTGAATGTCATTACCAGGCCTCACATAAAATGACACAGAACAGGTCTGGTGTCCTTGGATTAGCCTCAAAGGCAACATTGTTTGTGAAAAACAAAAAAGAGCCTATCGGTGTCTATCGGATCTGCCCACGTTTGAAATAGCCGCCGTCTACTGAGAGTCCTGTGGTTTTCGGACACAGACCCGGTCCCTGCATTGGAGATGACATACCCACGGGACAGTGGGACAATGTCCCAGGGCATCACCGGAAGGCGAGCTCGCCGGCCACAGCCACAGGAATGCTGCTTGCTGGCTTTGCTCTGTCATCCGCAGGGTTTCTATACAGTGTAAGAATTAGTGAACGGCCCTGGCTGGTTTGGCTCAGCGGTTAGAGCGTCGGCCTGCGGTCCTGAGAGACCCGGGTTCGGTTCCCGCTAAGGGCATGTACCTCGGTTGCAGTTTGTCCCCGGCCCTGGTCGGTTGTGTGGGTGGCAGCCACTCGATGTGTTCCTTTCACATCGATGTTTCTCTCTCTCTCTCTGTTCCTCTCTCTCCCTCCCACTCTACCTGAACAAAAAAATGGAAAAATGTCCTCGGGTGAGGGAAAAAAAAAAAAGAATTAGTGAACGGCCGCCGCAGGGCGCATCTGCGGAATGAGGGACACGTGGCTTCACCACCTCCTGCGGGGGAGGGGCGGCTGCCCATGGTGGACATTGCTGTTCAGGTCAAGAATCTGTCACGGTTCTGGCCTTTCAGGTGGCTCAGTTGGTTAAAGCAGTGTCCTGCTATGCCAAGGTTGTGGGTTTGATCTCTGGTCAGGGCACATACAATAATCAACCAATAAGTGCATGAATGGGTGAAACAACAAATAGATGTTTTTGTCTCTCTCTCTCTCAAAAAATCAATCAATAATAATAAAAATGAACCTGTCATGGTTCTGGTTCTCCATCTCAGAGTTCAAGAAGAGGTCACTGGAAGGGAGGTGATTAGTGGGGTAGAATAAAGAATCCTGAGCCCTCTCTGTGCAGCTCCCGGAGATGGGGGATCTTAGACTGGGTGCTAGAAAGGATTTAACAACCAGTCCTTGCTTCTAAAGCCCCAAAGGGCCAAATTCAAACAGTAGCTTGTGCTCAATGTCACTTGTACATTTTTTTGGTAAGAGAAAACATGTCTGTCAATAGGAACTGGTTTAATAAATGTAACATATGCAAAAAATAAAATGTTACACAGTGATTAGAAATGAGAAGGTAGCTTGGATGAGTGTTGATATAAATCGATCTCCAAGATCCAATGAGAAATAAGGGTGTAGAGTTAAGTGTGCTATTGTTTACACACACACACGCACGCACACACACACGCACGCACATTTACAAGCACATATAATATCTCTAGAAGAACAGAAATCTCAGGCAGAGGACCTGAGTAACTAAGGCGCACATGTGGAAAGACAATTTTCATTTAAACCATTTTATACCTTTTGCAATTTATACCATGTGTATACATTATCTGTTCCAAAATTAATTGCTTTTTATTTATTTATTTTTTTATCCTTACCCGAGGACATTTTTCCATTTTTTGTTCAGATAGAGCGGGAGGGAGAGAGAGGAGGGGAGAGAGAGAGAAACATCGACGTGAAAGGGACACATCGAGTGGCTGCTACCCACACGACCCAACCAGGGTCAGGGACAAACTGCAACAGAGGTACATGCCCTTAGCGGGAACCGAACCTGGGTCTCTCTGGACAGCAGGCCGACGCTCTAACCGCTGAGTCATACTGGCCAGGGCAAAATTAATTGCTTTTAAAAATAGCTTTTATTTTATTTTTTATCTCCCTTTGTTCCATTCACAAGGAAGAAATCCTGGCTTTTCCCAAATTATGTTGCCACGTTAGCATGATCTCAGCTCACGCCCCTTTTCTCCCTTTATTATGTGCCCAAATAAATTACTGTCCGAATGATGATCGGCAGGAATGCAGGACAAAGCACTTGCATTTTACAGAACAATACTAGTAAAACATCAAAATGTGTGTATTTGGCAAAGATCTGAAAAACTATACATTAAATATTAAGTGTTTATATTAAATGGGGGTCTAATAGGTAATTTTGCTCTTGTCTTGGTATTTTCTGGGATTTCCAAAGTTTATACAGTAAATTTTGCAATACTTTTTTAGTTTTTAAAAAACTTTTTGCACTCACCTGGTTTCTGTCCCGGGCATTTGCATATCGAAACCTCTGGATATAATAAAAGACCAGCCACGCGAGGGAAATGATCATCAGGACGATGAAGGAGATGGACACAAACACAACCGACGTGCGGCTCACGTATTTCTGCAGGTTCCGCGTTCCGATGGTGATGTACATCATCACGGTGATGTTTCTTTCCAGCAGGCCGACGATCTCCTTCCCTTTCGGCTCAGGGATCATGATTGCCACGATGTCTTCTACACCTGTTGTGAGAGGGACAAGGGGAAGGGGACAAGACAGAGGGAGGAAAGGTAATAGTGAAATGTCTGGATAAAATAACATGCAACCACATCATGACACTATCTTTGACAATTCTTTGCCAGATCTAATATCCAGGTCTAATTCTAAGATCTAACAGCCAGGAACTGAGTCAAATTTTCTCTTCCTTCAGCCCCCTTGGGATGCTACTGTCTCGTATATGAGAAAAAAGCCTAAAATGAATTCATAATTTTGGTAGCAGTGAGGTCATGATCAAACTACTCTTCAACTGTCCAAGGTGTTGACGCTAATAAAGGTGGACCCTTCCCAACTAGTCCAAGTTTACAGTCCTATGTTGCATTTCAACTCCCCCAGAAGGAAAAGACACTCTGACCCCATGGTCCAAGGGTAAAATGCATTTTTATGCCACGGGTCTGTGAGCTTGCTTGCTTTTTCTCACTCAAACACGGTGAATACTTGATCACGGCTATCTACGTATCATTTTCAAGGCAATTTTCTCCTATAGTAAGTACCCAAAGCAACCCCAAATAGGATTTCTTAATGCTCTCTAACATGACTTGTCAACATAAAATAATGGCTCAACTATTTCCTGCTTAATTTACCTAACTCAGTGTAAACAGCCGATGTGTCCGCATAGCCAGCAAGGGAAGGTGGAGGCAGAACAGATCATTCCAGGACCATTTCATCTTCCAGATACTCTACCGCAGCGCCCCTCTTATTGAACAGTTTGAAGCTGTCTTGGGTCTGCGTTATCTGGGTCCTTGTCTCTCTTCTTCATGACTCTGTGTGAGGCACAGCCTCCCAGGGAGAAGTTTGGGGCCTCTACAAGGGGGTCTTTAGTAAGGACATGATACTAGCACCAAATGAACCAACCTGACATGTCCCTGTAACTGATCCATGGACTAGAATATCAATTTCACTAGGCTAGGTTCTCAGGGATCGCCCGATTCAAATTTATGCTCACAAAGCTCTTTATGGGCCCCATCTCCACCCAGAGATATCCTATTACCTGGGACAACTACCAACCGCAGACAGCAAATTCACAATTAGGAGGTTGTAGCCTAGGGACAAAATTAAAACTGCCATAGCTGCTTAAAGCTGGCCTTGTTCACACGCGGAGGTCAGCCAGCCAGATGGGACCACCAGATCCCTTTTGTTCGGGATGTTGTCAGTCTCTTAGAAGCTGCTTAGGGCTTTCACTTGACCTTGATCTCTACCCAGGTTTTCAATCCTAAATTCCTTGATGGTATTTCGCTGGTTATAAATACTTTAAATGCCCACTACATACAAAGGTGTCTGTGTCTGGTACATCAATGATATCTTTCCTAAAATTCCAAAACCCAACTGTGAACCTCGCAAAGCCACACCGTGTTTAGATTTAGCTGTCAACTTCTTGGAATTACCGAAACTGGTGGTTTGAATGTCAACTTTGCAGGATTTACGGACAATTCCAATGCTCCTCTTTTCCATGTTTACTTTGGCTAATGGCTGCATGTGGGCTGAGGTTTCCTGAGGGATTAAGGCTGCTGGCAGGTTTTGTCTTTACAGAAATAACTTCTGTGTCTACTGGAGTAATCCGGCCGGTGAGGCTCAACTGGGTGCTGTGGCCACTTTAGGGATATTTAAGTAGTGGTGGATTAGTAACTTTTCATTTAATCTAGCCTCCCATTTATATGTTTAAAGCATGTCTACTCAACATGGACTGAGCTCTTATCATATAATCGGCAGAGAGGAGACAGCTAGGATGCAATTTATTTTCTCCTGAATTCTTAGACATATTTGCATTTACTTTTGGATTTCATTTTACTGTACGGTTGACCTGTCTTTTGCTACCCCGGGCTATTTCAATTGTCTTGGCTTTTAACATATTTACTGTCTGGCAGCCCAACTCTTCCTCCACTAATTTTCCCCTTATATTTTCCCTCTTATCTGCTTCGACGAAGAGCCCATAGGCCCAACAGTACATAAGTGGGCTCTCGAACGGAACAGCTTGTTTCAAACCCCAGTTCATCATTTTAAAAATAGGCGACCGAAGTTTGGATGTCCAAGAAGTTCTAAATTACTCATCATCCATTTTCAGGAACCTGAGAAAACATTCTCTCTTCCTGTAGGGTAAAGTATAATTAACTATTTTAAACTGAAGCGCTTGCTTACATCACCTGTGTGGCTCATAGCACGGCCGTGTCTTCATGACACCTGACCTCTGCTTCGAGAGGCTGACTATGGCAGTGGGGAGGTTCTAGTCACCTGGACTTGAACCTTAGTCATCGTCAGTATTCACAACGAATTTCTAGGGCTGGTGATGGTAAAAAACAGATGGGATTCTGGGACATTTCTCCATGCACTATAGGCTATGTATTGTGTATGGTAAAAAGAGATACCAGCCCTGGCCAGTTTTGCTTAGCGGTTAGAACATCGGCTCGCAGACCAAAGAGTTGTGGGTTCGATTATGATCAAGGACACGTACCTTGGTTGTGGTTCGGTCCCCAGCCCTGGTCGGGGTTGTGCGGGAGGCAAGCAATCGATGTGTCTCTCTCACATTGATGTTTCTCTCTCTCCCTCCCTTCCACTCTATCTGAAAATAAATGGAAAATATCCTTGGGTGAGGATTAAAAAGAAAGAAAAGAAAAGAGATACCAAAGGTGGGCATTTATCCCAGTGGAAAATGTCATTAAGACCTTGGGTACACAGGCTTTCCAAAAACAGCATAAAGTAAAGTGGATTTGGAGGAATTATCTGACCGGTCTGATCGATGCACAGAGTCCAGGGCAAAAAGCTACTGTAGGATTAAATCTGTTCCCATGAGACATGTGCGCCAATGTGAGTTATCGGGCATTTTCCCTGATCTTTGCTTCATTTGGAAGGTGCAGCCAGCGTCAGGGAGAAGCCAGCAGCTTCTCCCAGGTACACGGAGGTGTCCTTGCTTCTGAGGGTGTGTGGGAGGGCGGGAGGGGGAAGAGTAGGGCCCTGGCGAGGAGAGAGCTGAAGGCCAGCTGAGTGCCCTTGGAGAGAATGCGCCCGAAGTCCCCAACCTAGGACACACTGGAGGCTGACTCAGGAAGAGCCGTACACCGATGGCATGTTGTACATGGATAAACTCCACAAACAGGCCTTGCCACGTGGGCAATTCTGTGTTTACTGTGATGCCTGGTCTATTTATCAATTGCCTCTTTTTGCAAAATTTTGTCAGCCGACCAACTATTTTCCTCCCAAAGGCACTTTATACTTCTGAGTGATGGCTGTTATGTAATTATTTTGTATTCTGGAAAAGCTCTTTAGCCCTGCGAGAGAAAGTGTGACCAGGACACATGTGACCCGGCCACCAGGCAGGCAGCAGGGACACCCATATATTTAGTGCTTCCTTTTCCCAGGAGAGAACTCAAGTGCCATGACCTAATTCAGTCTATGCAGATAAGCAAGGAATCAAAACAAAAGAAAGAATGCTTAATAACCAGGAAGTCCATTACTTATAAATTCAAAACCAAGTTGTTTAAATATTGCATTGGCAGAATGTCCAGAACACTAGCACAGGGCTAGACATTTAAAGGGCCAGCAGCCCCATTCCTCTCTGTGCACCTGGAGGGGGGTTACTCTCTCCTAGGTTCACGTGAGCAAAACCCTCTTTTCAGTCCTCTGTATCCTCTTCCCCTCAAATCTCTACTTTAGTCTCACTGACGGCCCTTTAGAATTTAGGCAATGTAAAGAAAAGGCAGTTTTCATTTATAGATATTTTCTATTTATACTTATTATCTACTGCTTTTTAAAAATAGTCAGCTCCTGATTATCATCTATTCTCAAGTCAGATGACAATGTATATGAAATAATCTCAGAAACTGCAAAGCTCCATATAAATGTAAAGTAGTACCATTTTCTGCATTTGTTTAAAAATGTTTTTAATAAACATAGATACATAAAATGTAAATAAAGCATTCACAAATAGACTCCAACACTCTAGTAAAAATACCTTCATGACCAAAGTGGGATTTATTCCAGGAAGGTGAGGGTGATTTAGCATTAGAAAATATATTAATGCTTTTTAGTGCATTAACAAATTAAGGAATCAAGCATATGATTATCTTGGACAGCTAGCTGTCCTCCAGTGTCTGGTCTCTTATACTTCTACAGTATTCGTGTTTCAGCCAGGCATACACTGGCCAGTGAAGTGTTAATCCTCGGCCTCCCTTGCAGCTAGCTATGGCTCTGTGATTAATGTTTGGCTGTTGATACATGAGTGGAGATGATGTTTGATACTCTAGGGTCCTATCCATAAAGGGCTGAATATGTGCACCCCAGGCCCTCTCTCCCCTTCTCTCTGACTTCAGAGAGGTGAGCAACCAGCTTTTTAGAGAAAGGAAGCCACAGCCCTGGCCGGTTTGGCTCCGCGGTTGGTGCGTCGGCCTGCGGTCCGGAGAAAGGAAGCCACGTGTTGAGGATGACACCCACTCCTGATTCTTAAGAGTAATATAAAACATTTCCTTAATGTGATAAAGAGTATCTTCCAGAAATAGTACATTAAATGGAGGAAGAAAACATTAGCAGTTTTGCAGTTCAAATCATGAATAAGATAAGAATGAGCAACATTAAAAGCAGAAGTGATGTCTGATGCAAAGAGACATAGAAATCAGAGTGGTAGATCTGGGAAAGGAAGACTGCCAACTATTATTATTATTATTTTTTATCCTTACATTTTTTTTTTTTTCACTTATCTTCAGATAGAGTGGGAAGGAGAGAGCGAGGAAGAGAGAGAGAAACATCAATGTGAGAGAGACACATCGAGTGGCCGCCACCCACATGACCCCAACCAGGGCAGGGGACAAACTGCAGCCGAGGTACGTGCCCTTAGCAGGAACCGAACCCGGGTCTCTCTGGTCTGCGGGCTGATACTCTAACCACTGAGCCAAATCGGCCAGGGCCTGCCAACTATCATTATATTGGAGGTCACATGACTACCTAAAAAAAAAAAAAATCAAGATAATTTAACTAC